GTGGTGCACTCGCCTCGCACTCGATCTGCGCTCGCCGTGCTCTCGACTCGCGCTCGCATCGCACCCGTAGCGCACTCGTTTCATTTTTAAAGGGGAAGAACCTGTCGAGCCTTACAAACAATCGCTTTGCAATACAAACAATTTCTTTGCAATACAAAGAGCGAAAATTGTTCGTAACGTTGCAAAGCATTTTGTTCGTAAGCTTTTTACAGTGCAGGGTGCGAGGCAGGGTACCAGTTTATTATTTGGCGTCGGCCGAAAACTGAGTCAGGTTGAGGTGCATCCCCGTATGGGTTCTTTATCTCAGCAATTTTATTCAAACAGCGTTTAGTAGATCATATGTCGTAAATTTACATTAAAAATTTTCTCCGATATTTGCCGTTGCCGACAAGAAATTTTGGATCTAATTTACGGCCGGAGGGGATAGGCAAGGCAAGCCATCAACACTTCATAGTGTCCACACTGATACACACCTCTTACACCTTACTGTGTTGAGTTTCTCAAGACTAATGAAGAAAAAATATCTGGCCACTATAAAAGTGATGACATAATTCTGGCACTGTATACGCGCTCTGGGCTGCCTGCGGAAATGGAAAACTGCCCCCTCTCCCCCCTGGTGAATGAAGGGGGAGCGGGATGCGGCGGTGGCTACTCATCAGCAGGATAACAACTGACAAGCCCCTGGGCTGTGGAGGCGTCGGCCGGAGCGCCGCCCGCCGCCCGGGCCACGGGCGCCGAGTGCAAACAAGTGGCCGCGCAGCGCCACGCCGGGGAGCATCGCCGACTGATGCTGAAATGGAGGTTTATTTGTTTTTATCTTGTTTGAGACTGCCCTCTGGGGCCGACGCCTTTCACCAACACTCCCCTCGCACGCTCCTCCACCGCTGCTTTTCTCCGACTTCGACGTTGTCGTTCATTTTTCTGTATTGGTATTGGTAGTTTAATGAAGGAAACCATTTTATGTTTATTGTTTTTTTGGGCGTGTTTTTTGTGGTTTCAATTCAGAGCCTGCAAGGTAGTGCACCCGGTTTAGATTCACGATTTAATTCCGAAAACATTTGGTTTCTGAAGGAGAGTATGGGGTGAATAGAGGACCCTAAAAATGGACTTTTATTCAGGAATATTAACTTTCTTTTAAGTGTACATCATTATGTTGGAAAGTAATATTTTTAAAACGAAACAAAAATTGTGTACACAGTAACATCCCAGGAACTTTTGTCACAGTCTACCGAGTTCTGTCAACATGCCCCGCTTCCGCATTTTGACAGATATTCGAGAAATTCGTAGACTGTTAATATAAAAGTTCATAAGATTTTAGCTGTACCCATGATCTTTCCTTTGCGTGTTGACGAAGAAGTGAGGTCCTCAGAGGCGCATTCCCCCCTCTTGCCTTCCCCTCCAGACGCATTGTCAAGCAATTCAAACAGAGAATAGTAATATTTGGAGGCGCTAGAGCACGCTGGCGCGACGGCGAGGCCATTTCCCTGCCGAGCGCTGAGACGCCCCTCTCCTCTCTCCTCACCGCGGGGACCGCAAGATTTACCGAGAGGCCATGCCCAGGCAGCGGGGCAGGGTGCCGGTGCAACCTCTGTAATCTGGGCGTAATCCTCAATCAGGCCTGGCTCTCTGTCTCCGTCTCCAGCAAGTGCTTTCCTCGGCAACAGTTGGCTCCGCGCAGACAAGCGAGTCGAGAAGGGGGAAGGGGTGAGTAAGAAGTTCTCCCAAACAAAGGGGCACGCCGACAGAGGTCGCGGCCCGACCGCAAGGCAGGGTGTTTTTGTCGGGGAAGACGCATGCCATGAAATTATAACAGTTATTTCGAGTTAAAAATGTGCATTTAGGAAGCACTTAATTTAAAT